AATGAAACAAGTTTATGGCGATAACTGCCTATCCCGTAGCAGAGTGCACGAGTGGTTTCAACGTTTTCACAGTAGTCGTGAGGACATAAATGAGAAAAATCGCGCCTGGAGAAGTCAAAGTGAAGACAATGCTGATTTGTTCTTAGGATTCCAAGGGTATTGCCACAAAGAATTTGTTCCACCCGTCCAAAACGTTAATGTGGTATTCTACCTTGGAGTTTTGAAGCGTTTGGTGCGCCGTATTCGACGTGTTCGGCCCGAATATCGCGAAGATGGAAGTTGGCGTTTGTTGCACGATAATGCGCCGTCTCATCGATCGACGCTTGTGGCCGATTATTTGACCAAAATCACATTTTAACAATCAACCACTCCCGTATTCACCTGATATGGCACCGTCAACTTTACCTTTTCGGAAAAATGCATTTGCCGATTAAAGGAAAGCGTTATGCAGACGTGGAGGCCATTCAAAAGGCTCGCACCGCATACTGGCGGCCATACCATCTTCTCTCTTTTCCTAAAATTGAAAAATCATTAAAATTTCAATTTTACAAATTGTATCACTGAAAATCCTACCATCCACACTACACCTATATACAAGCTAAGCACACTCGATATAGTACTTTTATATGTTTACTTATTATCATTATTTCATAGTTTCTGAAGAAGAATTTATATAAATTTTATAATTTAATGCCATAAATAGTGCATAATATGAAAAAAATTAAAATATTATTTTAACTCGCTAATAGGTCATGTTGCTAATTCTCCTTTCTGAAGGGAATATCGGACAAATTCTTCAATTTCTGATTTTTAGCATCGTCGTGAGTAGACAGCTTGTGGGCAAAATACAAATGCGAGGGGAATAGGTAGGATTTTCAGTGATACAAATTGTAAAATGTAATTTTTCTCGTTTAACTGAAACCATTCAAATTCAATTTCATTCATTTTATAAACGTTGCTGTAATATGAAATACTTAGAAAATATGCCGCGAGTTTGCGTGAATATTATTGGCCGATGATGGTGCATCTAAATTTTTTTTGTCACTTGCGCGATTGTTTGATTTTTTGCGAAAGACATATTGAGGGACATACATACATATGTACATATGTGTACATATATGCAAATATATTTGGACATACGAATGAAGGAAGGCAATTTCAAGAATATTCACATATAGACATACATATGAATATTTGAAGCAAGTAAACAACAATAGCTGTTTAAATTCACAGATTAGACAAAATTGCTTGAATCTAAGTTCAGATCCTATCATATAACATTTTAGTACAGCTAACATTTGCTCCTTTTCTATTCATTAACATTCTTTGGATATAGACACATTTTTTTCCACAGAAGCAATAATGTCAATCTGCGAGATTTCTGAAGACGTATACGATCAACTGCTACTGCAAAACTTTCTCTTCTTTTCGTCCCTCAAAAAAGCCAAGCTCTGGTTCATTTTTGTTCATAAACAGGTGGAAATATATTTTTTTTAACAGAAATTGTTCCAGAATCGAGATATTATTTAGAAAATTGAACGCGATGATATTCCATCAGCAGCAATTTACAAACACTTGCAACATTAAATGAACAATTTGTTTCATATATGCATAACAGAAAAAGCCTGCGTTCACAGTGGATGAAGCATTCACCAAAAAAATATATGCAACTTAAAAGTTTCATCAATTTCTTTATTTTGAAGACAATTGTTCGATGAGTGTATGGGCAAAATTTTGTAAAATTTTAGCTGCGTCGTTCTAAGTTAACGGGATTTTAGTACCGTTACTTAAGTAAGTTGAGCAGAAAAAGTGTGCGTTCACTTTAAACATCGATGGTTAGTTGTATGAAAAGTACAAGTTTTTTAGATCAATTTTATTTAAATGATAAAACATATATAATCATGGGAGTTATTCTTCTTTTTTTATTATGGACCAAAAGCGAAAAGAAATAGATATTGGCGAAAGTAAAATCATTGTTGGATTGTGGCAAAATGGCAAAAGTTATCGAGTAATCGCGAAAACTGTTGGGAGACAGTACTCCTCAGTCCAGAGAGTAATAAACAATTACCAAGAAACAAAATATCAGGAGTCCAAGCCACGTTCTGGACGTCCAAAAAAACTAACTGCAAGAGAAGAGCGCAATATAACCTCTCTTTTGAAGTGTAATCCACGACTGACAGCAAGTCAAATTTCAAAAGACATAGCATTTAAATACCAAAAGAATTTATGTCCAGATAAAGTACGAAAAATTCTGAAAAAGTCCGGACTTTACGGCAGAGTGGCACGTAGAAAGCCCTACATATCGAGAGTAAATCGACTTAAGAGGATGGCCTTTGCAAGCCTCCAGAGTGGAAAAGCGTTATTTTTTCAGATGAGAGTAAGTTCTGCATCTAATAATCATAATAGGTCGTAAGATTGTCTGGAGGAAATGTGGAACAGAACTGGATTAGCAAAATCTCGTACCTAGCAAGGTAAAGCATGGTGGTGGAGGTGCTATATGTGTATGTATGACAAGTTCGGGCGTTGGAAAATTTCAGTTTATTGGGTCGATAATGAATAAATATGGTTATCTTGATATTTTAAAAATAAATTAAAAAGAAAGTGCAGTCAAGTTGGGACTATGTGAGCGATTTATTTTCCAACAAGACAACGACCCGAAGTACACGGCAGAAATGGTGAAGCAGTGGTTGCTCTATAATATTTCAAAACAACTTCGTACACCCCCGCAATCACCTGACCTCAACCCAATTGAACACTTATGGGACCTACTAGAGAGAAAAATTAGGCAGCGTGTTATCACCAGCAGAAAAATTCTTAAGGACGCGCTTAAAGAAGAATGGGAAGCTATAAGTCCAGAAACAACAGCCAAATTAGTTGGTTCAATGAAAAATCGCCTACTAGAAGTCATTAAAAGACGTGGATATCCAACTAGTTACTGATTTATTATATACTTTTTAACCTTTGGCCTTTTATTCCTTTATTCTTGAAGTGAACGCAGACTTTTTCTGCTTGGCTTGAATGACCTTTTTATTTTTACGTGAAATTATTTTGAATTCAATTACGTTATAAAAAAATAGTTACTAAAGATAATTACGTTATAGTAAAATAGTTACTTTTTATTCAACTAAATAAAATACTGTACAAAAATTGTTTTAGTCGTCTTTTTTTCCGATTTTTCATAGTACAAAGAAAATTTGCGTAAGTGAACGCAGACTTTTTCTGCCATGTATATACCTCAATTTTCGTTTTCTCATTTTTAATTCTCTTCAATATGTCAATCAGTTGATTGCTACGAATATCTTATGGCATGTACTCAACAGTTTGATCATTTTATTTTTATCATATTTGGTTGGGTGCTACTCATTGATAAACTCGACTGGTATTAAATTGAGAAAACGTTTATTTTCCTCACAGATCTATCTCAGTATACTTAAGGTATGCGATTTCGCATCCAAACCATCAAGAATATGTGGACCTCAATGCTTATGGACGACCATCAATCTGTGAAGTATCTTAATGAAAGTCAAAGAGCATATTTTTCTGGAAATAATCTGAAAATAGTCGTGATGATTAAAACGGGTAAGACCGGTTCCATATTTCCCCTAGGCTACTACTATTAGAAAGATTTTAGAACTTCCGGTTTAATTAATACCGTATATACCGGTCAATATATGACATACCTTAAAGAAACTAAGAGAGCATTTCACTCTAATAACAGTTTGCCTATAACCTTATATCTTAAATGGATAAACTTGGTCTAATAATAATCCTAAATCAAATATACCTAATATACTAATTTAAAAATTCCTGCTGAATTTATAGCTTATGCCATATATTGGTCAAAAAGTAATTGTCTTATCAAAATTAAGAGAGCGAATAATATTGGAAGTACTATAGCTTAAATCCGAAACTGTGTGTGTAATTTTTTAATGAAATTAAGTAGATTTCTTAAAAAGAATGTGCTTTAATGTTTTGAGTATGAATCGAATTGGCTATTGCCAATATAATGACTTCCGATTTCTTCGATTAATGCATGTTGAGTTCTTACGCAACATTATGAAGTATTGCCGACATCTGAAAGTATTTCTCTGGCTTAGATCCTTACTTGTTTCGATTTGTTTTGTTTTAATAATTTATATTGTTTAAGATATAAATGTTCCAAACGCGTATGTATACATATATGGTATGTATACACGTAATCTGTAAGCAATAACAAAAGAAAAAATGAACATGCACCTTGGCACCCAAGGAGGGTTAGTATTGCAGATGGGCGGAGTCGGACCATTACCACACCCACAAAACGCCATTATCGAAAACATATAAAGTGCCATGACAAAGCTGCACAATAAGATACAATACTGCTATTCAGTGCAACGAATTGTTTTAGCAAGCGACATCTATGGTTAAAAATATTTTACAAAGTGGGCGTGCCCCGCTCGAGATGGTACGAAAGGGCTTTATAGGAACGGGTGTCAAATTTAAAGGATGGGTGTAGCACTGCCCACATTTAGATGAAAACCCATATCTCGATACCTACTCGACCGATTTCAACCAAATTCAGTAGGTAATATTATCCTGACATTCCTACATTACAGTGTGAAAACTTGTGTAATCGGACTGCAACCACGCCTACTTCCCATTTAACACAATTTTAAATTCCATCTGATTCTTTCACTTTCCAGTATACAAATCGAAAGTGATTGATGTATTCGGATAAGACTTTGCACGAATAAAGCCTATGAGGTGTGCCACCTTATGGCGAAAAATTATCCAAATCGGACCAAAACTATCAAACCTCCAGTGACCGAATATAAGTTCCTATTGCGAAAAAAAATTTTCCTATCTTTGATCCTTGCAAGTTGCGAGATTATAAAATGTTCGGTTACACCCGATTTTATCCCTTCGTTACTTTTTTAAGTGTAGATTAGTATTTCATTTAGTATTAAGTTTAACTTTATGTTATTCAAATGTTGCAAAGATTAGTAAAGGTTATTGATTACCTGCTATTTGTCGAATTTACACTAGTGTTACTACGCGACCGCCTAGAAATAATGGAGTCACCACAGTTCACTACATTACCCTTGCTTATTGAAAAGTGCCTTAGTCGGTAAAGATCATCACTAGCTCGAGGATTATATGGACGTTCAGGTAGAGAACATACACGTGGTCTTATATGGTCTGGAACTGTAAAATAGTAATAATACAAAATTCTTACATAAATCATATGAATGTTAATCAACCTGGTAGTTCAAGGAAATTTGATGTTCGACGTTGTCGTCCGCGATTTGATGCTTGAAAAGCTAACGGCCCGATATCATCGTTGGAAAAGACAGATGTGTTCGAACAGACACTTTTCATGGACTCCCGTGAACTGCGGCGGCTAGCTAAATATGCCAGGCCGCCTTTAGAACTAGCCCTCCGTCTGAGCTTATAACTTGTGGAAATTGATTCTTCTAAAACGTTATGCTTATTTAGGACACATTCAGAGTCTCCCGTCAAATCACTGGTTGATTTACGGTGCTGCAGTGATGCCGCACTGTCTGAACAGGTACGATCTAATGTAGAGTGTGAACTGTGTAATACCTACAATTACAGAAGTCATTTATATTATTACTTTTCCACACTTAGACGACTTATGCTGACCTGATAACAGGGATTGGAAGTTATATTGATTGCGTGTCTTCGATGTACACTTTTTTCTTGCAACTCAAATAAGGTCGCCTCTTTTGATACACCTCCTTCCAAAATTGCACCAATTTTTGATCGGTCGGAGAAAGACGTAGTAACAGTAGCAATCGTACTATTTGTTGTATCATTCGAATCACATGATAGCTGAGTGCTCTCCGTAACACACGAGTCTCTTTTCATATAATATTTATTACTTATCAAACAATGCTCATCAATTTGACATATTTCCCACTCTGGTGGCTTCATCTCCTTACTGTTTTGCTGACTTTCATATAAATTAGAAATATTTTCTAAAGGTACGGAACGCAAAAGTTGCTCTGACTTCTTTCTTTTTCCTTCACACATTTTTGCTGAGGTGGGTATTTGTGATGATGTACCAAAATGTTCACTGGTATTTATTTCATAGATTTCATTAGAAATTTCATCTTCAGGAGAAATATGTTCGTAGTACTCAAACTTTTTATAAGAATAATCCATGACTGGACTTATGGCTTCAAATACGAATTTTCTCGGTGAGTTAGGACTTCGTCGAGGTGAGGATGTTGCTGGACCGCTAAGAAATGTTCCAGATATTGGTGAATCCATTGAGTTTTCGTGGGATGATATTCTTCGCGGACTATGTGAACCAGATGTCGGTGTATGATAATAAGATGGTGTTGAAGAGGCATCATCATAACTATCATTGGCATAAGTGGTTGTTATTTTCGGACTACGTGGGTTTTCATTCATGTTGAAACAATTTCCACCTCTATTAGCCATTATAAATGGATCGGAGTATGAGTTGTGAGCTCCGTAAGATCTCCATGCACCTGGACTTAGTGGTGGTTGTCTCGTTGAATCATCAGAATTAATATTGGGTAAACATCTGAGTTTAAAATAACAACGATTGTGGTTAACAAATACGCACATGAGTAGTATAAGTACGTGAGTAAGTATGTAAAACACAGTAATGAATAATATTAATCATGGAACTTTGTATATTTATAAACTACCATGGACTAGACAAATAATGTACTTGAACTTAAGATCATAATATAATAACATTACTTCATTCAAGACTTATTAAATAATTATTTATTCCGCGTTTTATTTATAAATTATGTGATCAATCTTCTTCAAACAAGGTCTCTTTAATATTTACTTCAAGAATATTTGCCCGGGCAGATTCTGCTGAAGCTTAGATATAAATTGAATAGAATCGAGCCCGACGATTATCTATCAGCTAATTGAATTATTTTTGATCAGTAAATAAATAAATATCTTTTACAGAAAATATCGGTCAGTAAGAAGAACTTTGGTTTCATGGTAACATTATAAAATAATTTTTCGATCCATTTCTAAAGATCGTTTCAGTGAAGCTGATGATACTGATTTAAATAATATTATAATACATAATAGTACACTCTTTATGCAGACTTTTAATATTTTAATTTATAAAAGGGTATGTTTATAAAATTATTGAAAAGAAAAATGTGTTTTATAAATTTACCTTGGAACTTTAGAGCCCTTATTTGTTGACACGGGTGAACGTGAACACATGTTATCTGTTTTCTGCATTATTGCAGGAGGAGGCGAGTTCTGTTTAGTTTTACCTACTGAAACAGTGTCCTTATTCAAACCACATAGTGGTGAATATGTTAAACGGCTCAGGGTTTCATTTTTTTTCAAATGTTTTTGATATTGATATTCCTTTTGATGTTCCATTGAAGTTCCAAGTTGATATGCATAGGTTATATTATGAGCAACTTTGTCACTTCCGACCAGACCACCTTCCCGTTAACTACGTATTAAAGTTCAGTTATTAATTTCATAAGAATCGTGACCTAGAACTGATACTTTGAATTAATGTATACGCTCACACATTTAAAAGTGAGTTATTGATAGAATATATGATTTAGTTTTTAATTGTAAAAGAAAGAATAGAATTTAAATACTTAAATAGCGCTTCTTCTTTTTACTCATTATCTTTACTCCCTTGTACTCATTTAAATATATATATTACATTATTTAGGAATTTGTCATTTATCCTGCATGCCCGTAAGGCATTCCATCTCTCCCTGATCCGTCTGTCAGCTCTTTCGGAAATTACGTTGTGTATCGGTTTTAATGATTTGCATATTTATTGAATTGGTTCGGTAGTCAAGCAGATGGCACCTTTGGCAATCTCCTCAGCTATTTCGTTTCCCGGAACGCCCTTGTGGCCTGGAACCCAGTATATATGCAGCCGCTTTTCGGCAGCCACTATATCTACTGCCTCCCTGCTTCTAAGGACATTTTCCGACACAATACGATGTGGGGTTATTGCTTTATGCCACTTGGCTATCGACGTATATATTGATATCCTCCTGCTTGAAAGTTACTCCAGAATTACGAAAGCATGAAGGGTCGCCTGAGATCTAGCTCCACGCAATAGGCCCCAGCGCCCACTCTATCAGCCATTTTTGATTCGTCCGTGCTAAGAGTTTTGCTGGCGGATCGCGTGTCCCTGCGCTATCCATCTTCTTTTAGCGTGACTTGAAACCCTCTCTCCCAGATAGAGCGTGAAGGTATGTGGTCTATCTTATCCATCGACCCCCATATCAAGCTATGTCCAAAGGTTCTTATGGAAAATTCACCTAACACCGCCAATCTTGCAGCTGATTTCGCTGCCAAGCTTTCCACTGCAATTGGTGGCAGGTTGAGTAATCTTTTAAGCGCAGCCGTTGGAATGGTTCATAGTGCTCCCGTTATACAGAGAATTTATATTTTATTTATTTAATTAAATAATTTTATATTTTACTGGCAGCCGTCCACCACACCAAAGCACCGTAAAGTAAGATTGGCTTGACTACCGCTGTGTAACAACAATGCATAAGGACAGATGAAAGGCCTCATGTTGACCATAGCATGTTCTTCCATGGGTAGAGAGCACAACTGGCCTTTCACCCTCTCCTCCACATTGAGTTTCCACGTCAGTTTGCTGTCCAAAATTACTACCGGGTACTTGGTATGATCCTCAGTAGTTAACTCTACCCCGTTGAGCTTGAGGAATTTTGCGTCAAGGTATCTTGTACCTCCTTGTAAAGAGTACCATATCCGTCTTATCAGCATTTACTTTTAGGTTAGACGATAATGTTCATTGGTGTGTGGGCGTGAGGCATGCAACAAGATCCAAGAAGTAGTTTCTCATTCCTGCCATCCTTTACCTGAGGAGAAATTTAGGTCAATATATGAATGCATACTTATCCATCTCAGTATAACAGTTCTTACCTTGTTCGTTGCGCTCGGGATGTATGTGTGATATGACGGCGACTTGAGTCCCGAAACCATGTTTCCCGGGGGTATCCGTGGTTCTTGAACTAAAGCCGCATCGTATACGATCTTCTCTAATTGAGCAGGAGCTCGGCAGAGGCGAACTTGTTTTTATGCAGTTTTATCTAAAGAACCTTCACTGTTAAGGTTAGGGTTCCTCTCTTTGTCAGCTTCTTCAGCGTATTTAAGTTTTTATCGGCCGGGTTGCGCTTTTTGAGGCGAAGGTACACGCTACTTACGTCCCATGGCATCTTCCCGAACCTTCCGCACAAAATGTTCTCGGCCGACTTGTTTGTTTCGAAGATGTAATCTTAATCTATTAAGTTTTCGCTTACTTTTTAATTTTAATACCTAAAAAGCTACATACATATAGCTAACGTGATGACCAAAGTTTTATATTTGGTGAAAGCAATTATTGTTATTAATGAATATTACAACATTTTTTTATATGAATAATAGGGTTTGGTAGAAAATGTCATTGAACGCCTTGAATATCGTATAACTTCGACATATAAATGTATGTATGTCTGATAGCAAATTGATATTATTTAAAAGGTCATTGTCAGATAGTTTAACATCGCACACCACAATTATTTAGAAAGCAGCACGTCTAAACATGTACCTAATAGAAGGAAAGAATAAAAATCTGCAGATACACACATGTCTACATAGATGTAGACATATCTTAGAGAAGTCAGAATTTGACTCCACTACCATTTTCAGGTACCCCTGCCTATTCCTCTAGTCTTACAATCTTGTTAATAAGTAATGGGCAATCACGGTAGTAACAAGTGAGCGAGCAACAAGTGTTATTCAAAACCCATGTTAACCGTGTCAAAGTAATTGCAAAAAAAAAAGAAAAAACAAAATCATTCCAGCTGAGTGACAACCCCACAACTTCTGAGCACATTAGCAAGTATGGGTCGCCCTTTCGCAAACAATTCGATACTTCTTAATAGTCGAAGCTTTTATCAGTGCGCTTTACCATTCTTCACCAAGCTTATATCAACAGAAATGTTTTTCTTTTTTCCTTATACCTCCACGATAATTTTTGATTATTTACTGTTAGCCTGATGAGCACTGTAGTAATTGGAATCAATATTTATTGGTAATGGGGTACATAGTTTCACTCTAATATATAATAACTCACATTGATGCCCTCTCGTCTGTTATTTTTGCAAAAAGACCACACAAAGTTTTAAAGGATGCATTTCAATAATTTTCAACAAATTACTATTTTCGATCAATCTACTATCTATACGTATATTTTAGCAACTCACAGATAATTTTACTAGCGTTGCGCATATACATATGTTTGTATGTATATATAATTATTAGAAGTTGTCAGCTTCGATGCCAAAGTGAAACTACATTTCTCCATGTATCTCATTACCTGCTATTCTACCAGCAGCTTATTTTGAACACTATGTAAACTTTACTCTCAGTAATAAGATGTGTAAACCTTTTTGAAAGCTTTTTTGGCCTACCTTCTCTCTCTCTGATTACAGTGAGCTTTTTTACATTTAAATATAAATAAACATTAAGACCTCGTTACACCAAGATACACCAATTTTGTACACATATGTATGTATTCGAAATAAAATTTGAAATTTCACAATAATGGCACTTTATCACAGCGGTGGATATACGGAGGACGTGAAGTTATTTCCACGTCGACGCCAACCAATATTTGTATTGTCGATGGGAACGAAATTCCAATTTTTAAGAACTGCAATAACGAAACCTCCCTGCCGACGTCAATGTTATCCACCTGCCCAAATCAATGAAAAGTCAATTGGCTAGTACAAGCAAAATTTAAACAAAAATATTTAATCTTTTGGCAGAACAATATATGCATTCATAATATGCATTTTTTCCATTTGGTTGCGTCAATATTAGAATAAGAAAAAGAAACAATGTAATTGCAACTAAGGCTTAGCTTAAGTAAAGTTGTTAAATAAAGAATCAGAATCATTTTGACTGCTCCAAAGGCAAGTCGTGTTTCTATTAAATCGTCAAATCAAAGTTTTGCAACGATTTTTAAATTATTATTATTGAACCCAAGTTCAATATATTTATATAGATATATTTAGTTATATATACACTCAACTGGCGCAGTCGACGGAACTTTGTCCTTAGAAAAAGCAAAAGACTTCACCGCTTAAACGAACTTAGCAGCAAAATAAACAGAAGTTAAAGTGTTAAAAAGAAAGAATATTTAGTAAAACAGAAAATATTCCCGCGAAACTGTCATGGAAATTAACCGACCTACAGAACAAAGGATTCGAAGCAATCCTTGGACAAAATATATTAAAACCATTACTAGCAGTTATTGCCATGAGAAATAATACTTTTACCATTAATAATGAAGAGATAATATTTATGAATTGTTGCACATATAAGAACATATAGATCATAGAGGATAAGGATTTACAAATTAAAAAATTTACAACAAATTTAAATGAGGACGATAAATTTCTAGTTAGGAAGTTAATCAAAAATTACAAAAATTTATTTTATAAAGAAAGCGATGATCTTACGAGTACACCAGCCATTCAACACGAAATCGTAACTACGACCACACTCCAGTATACTCAATTTATCGATGCCCACAGTTACATGAAGAAGAGATAACTAAGCAAATTCAGGAAATGTTAAGACAGAGAATCATAAGAAATAGCAATTACATAAGAATAGCCTGGATAGAACCTAAAAAGTCAGATAACTCCTAAACTAAGAAATACAACGGATTGTGATAGACTACAGAAAATTAAATCATATCACAATCGATGACGAATTCCCAATTCCAAACATTGATAATATAATATATTAGATAAATTAGAAAGAGCTGTATATGATCTCGCAAAAAGATTCAACCCCTTTTCGCCATTACGAATACGTTAGTATGCCATTCAGCTTTAAAAATGCCCGTTCAACCTTCCAAAGGCTCATAAATTGTATCCTTAGAGAACACATAAATAAAATATGCGTAGTGTACATGGAAGACATTTTCGTCTTCAATACCAAAAATTAGAAGAGCATATACAAAACCTTTTAAAAATTTTCAATGCCTTAAAGAAGCATAACCTTAAAATACAATTCGACAAGTGTAATTTTTGAGCCAAATAAACACAGTTTTTAGGCCATGTTTTAACACCCGAAGGAGTTAATCCTAACTTTGACAAAATAAGCAAAATACAAAAATTAAAATTACCAAAAGCAATAAAAACATGTATACATATCATAGTATATCCCCATCAGACTTAGCCAACAATATTCCTGACATTCTTAGAAAACATATCACTCCTGGCAATACTGGTATATATGTAGCGGAGTTAATGACCATGAATATAATAAATTACAACAAAAAATCATAGAGTTATTTGATGGATTCGACAACATTAAATGTGTTAAATGTTCGTACCACGAAAAAGATGTAAATAGTGAGAAAGAGACCTACATACATATTTAAAATTATCACAAGTTCGAAACAGGACACACAGGAATATCCGATAACTACGAGGGAATTAAAATATACATATATTTTCCAAACCTGAAGAGACTGGTACTCAAATTTGAAGGTGCAATGAATCCTAAAACTTTTAATCCTGACCACAAATCGTACCTTGGGGCTAGGGCAAGTAGGTAGGTAGGTAGGTAAAGTGACTGTCTTTCGACCCACCTAAGACTTTAGGAGGCCTATTGTGATACCATCGGGACTGTGGTCGCCTCACTCTATTGGCACCTCTCTGAACCACCCCGTACTTCTGATTAATTTCATCAATGAGACAAGTTTTATCCGTGCAACCTCCGAGACGTCGTCAAGAAACCCACGACCGATGGCTGGGATTGTTTTCCTATATAGTGCTACGCAATCGCATAGAAGATGTTTAATGGTCTCCTCCTCTTCTACTTCCTGACAGCTTCTACAATAGTCGTTATATGGCGTGCCACGTCTAATTGCATGTCTGCCTATTAGACAGTGGCCTGTTAGTACTCCTACTAGAGTTCTTATATTTATCATTCCGCTTGAATTTTAACAGTCGGCATGTGCGACTCATATTCCATTCATGCCACGTTTGCCTTCTAGTTGAGCAAGTCGGGGACTGATTCCACTGACACTCGGCTATGTTAATGACATGTTTGTCGATTAAGTATCTACAAGTAGCCAGTGGCATTTCTATGTGCTCCTTACCAGGATATAGTTGTAGGGTGGTGCCTGTTCTGGCTAGTTCATCTGCCACTCAGTTCCCGGGGATGTTACTGTGTCGTGGGACCCATTGCAGGTTTACCGTGAAATAGGATGTCAGATCTGATAGAAGATCATGGCATTCTCTCACTGTCTTCGACGAAATCCTATTAGACGTCAGAGATTTCAAAGCCGCCTGGCGGTCTGTATATATAAATATATTTCTTATTGTGATCAAGGTTGGCAAAAATCCTCCGCTGAACCCTCCACGAGGGTGCCGACTGGAAATAGATACCACAGGTTCACGTCGTTAGTAGTGAGGTGTCTAGCTAAGGTCAGGCTTCCTATCTGGGTGTTCGGTACTCTTCGATAGTGCAGCATCCAGATAGGAGGTCTTACCATGGTAGGAGGTAAAGGGCTGGATCAAGGTGTCATGCGACCCGTGCCGAAGATCAACCTGGCTGGGGGCCCTTAAATAGCCCAGTCTCGCACGGAGCTTACGGATACCTGGCGCCCTCCGTAATAAGATAGCCTTACTTGCGTAGCGGGGGCTATGCGCAAGCGGACATACTTTCCCCTACACTCGTGGGTCCAAAATATGAGCCAAAACATTAAGAACGATAAAAATAAAAACAAAAAGGAGTCCGGACCTCCTTCAAAAAGACCGGAGAGAGCGGGTTGCTCCCAGAGAAGAGCAGCGTTTGGCACGAGCTCGACAACAGCCAAAGCGAGGACAGGAGCGAAGCTTGGTTCTGGAGCAAAGGCGAATACTAAGGGGGCAGTAGCCAAGGCTGGCGCCACAAAAACAGCAACGCTGGAGGCAGCCCATACCAACCCCTGTAGCCAAGGCTTGGCAACTAAGCAGGAGAAGGTGGGAGATGCTAAAAGCGAAGCTGCTAGCAGTGGGTCAGCCAGAGAGTGGCCTTCCTTCAGGATTGATGACCCGGCAAAGGCAAAGTATGCAGAGAGGCGACGCGCTGCATTCCTGTTGAAGAAGGTGGAGCTGCAACCGCCAACCAATGAGGAGCTCACAAAGGAGCTCCGAGAATCCATTGATTGCGCGAGAGCTGTCCTACCTAACTTCAAGCTGGAAGCGCCGGTAGTGGCAACAAAAAGACAGAGGTCCGCTGAAGAGGCTAAGCCGTCAGCTAAGAGACCGAAAACTAAGGGCGTGACGCCCGTAAGATCTTTTGCTGATGTGGCCCGAAACCGCATTGTCATTGGTGTACTGGATGAGGGTGACCCCGAAGGAAAAATCCCCAGAGCCCAATGGAAATGGGTGCAAGCCGCACTGACGAATGTGGCTTTGGAAGTGCTACTAAGCAATCCAGGTCCACCCCCGTCATGTGCGGATGCCGGATGGTATCAAGGGCAGATAAAGATGATAGCGTGTGACGACGAGAGATCGGTCAAACTATACAAAGCAGCATTAGCTAAGGTGGGAGAGGTCTACCCCGGAGCCAAATTAGTGGCGGTAGATAGGAAAGATATCCCATCCCGACCGAGAGCAAGGGTATGGATCCCGGCTACACCATCGCAGCCGGACCAAATAATGCAGCTCATAAGAGCCTGCAACCCAAATCTGCCAACGGAGGGATGGAGATTCGTCAAGGCCTTTGACGACCCCGCAGCAGAATCTGGAGTGGAGACGAAGCGAGCCACAATGCAGATTCTGCTGCTTCTAACAAAAGAATCCGTAGAACCGCTAGCGAAAAGTGGCGGAGAGATCAACTACGGATTCACAAAAGTAAAGGTCATGTCCTACAAATCAGACGCCGATGCAGGAGAAAACTTGGCATCGGAATCGGAGTGCGAAGTCGAGGAAGATCCAGTGGAGTCCTCAAGCGACGCAGAGATCACGGATCAAGGTGAGTGTACTTCGGGGTCTGAACTTGCGGACAGACTTTCCAAACTCTACACTGAGAGTGAGCTTTTAAGCGACTCTCATGATGATGCAGAGAAGACCATAACTAATGCGTCTTCTCCAAATTAATTTACACCACAGCAAACTAGCGTCTCTTGCCCTAGTTAACCGCATGGCAGAAGAACGGCCTGACTTCGTCCTCATTCAGGAGCCATGGGTTAACGGAGGGCGTATTTGCGGTCTGAGGACACCAGGTTACAATCTACACGCGAATGGTTGTGTAGGTAATCCAAGGACATGTATATTGGCTAACAAAAAGCTTAATGTCTTTTTATTACACAATTACAGTAGTAACGACACTACGGTGGTAAGCTGGGAGACGAGCAAGAGGAAATACCGGCTCGCATCATGCTACATGCCGTACGACGAGGTAGCAGTACCATCGCAGCTGTTCAAGTATCTGGTACGAGACGCCGAAGCATCCAAGTGTTCGATCATACTTGGGTGCGACTCCAATGCGCACCATAATCTATGGGGAAGCACGGACATTAATGAAAGGGGTGAGTTGCTCCTTAATTATCTAATAGGAAGAAGCTTCTGTTATGTAACAAAGGTAGTACGCCAACATTTATAACCAGAAACCGACAGGAAGTATTAGATATAACACTGGTATCGGAAGAACTGGTGGATAAAATAACACATTGAAGGGTATTGGAAGAACACTCCTTCTCAGACCACCGCTACATTGAGTGTATAATTGAAGAAAATGTAGTTAGGGAAGAGAAATTTAGGAATCATAGGAAAACGAACTGGCAGATGCACATGCAGGAGCTAAAAAAGCGTATTCCTATGATTCCACCATTCCAACCAGAAAAGAAAGAGGACCTAGACATCCTCGTTAAACGATTCACAGATTCTTGTTGTCAAGCACTAGAGGTAGCTTGTCCATTAACGCACAGTAGGGGAAGAATTAGACCTCCTTGGTGGACCCCAATACTTAAGAACATGCAGAAGAATTGCAGGAGGCAATTCAATTCTGCCAAACTATCCCAAGAAATATAGAGTGGGATAACTATCACAACCACCTTCGGGCATACAAAAAGGAGGTAAGAAAAGCAAAAAGAAATTCGTGGAAATCTTTTTGTAGCGACATCGAAGATACGGCAGAAGTGTCCCGACTGAGAAAGATAATGACACAGTCGAAACATAGCATCGGATACCTTCAGAAGCCAGATCACAGCTGGACGGAATCCAGTAAAGAGACTCTGGGCCTACTAATGGACACTCACTTCCCAGACAGTTCCGAGAACCTCACAGGGGAGCATATAATGGGGAGTGAAGTAAGCTCAGAGACCCCTACGCTAGACATAGTGTCAGATGACAATGTTTATTGGGCAATAGGCAGCTTCAGGCCTTATAAAACGCCGGGACCAGACGGTCTATTCCCGGCCCAGTTACAGCAATCCCTGAGCTACACAATAAACTGGATAACAACCATGTTTAGAGGGGCGCTGAAATTGAACTATATTCTCTCAACATGGAGGGAAGTTAAGGTGATATATATGGCGGGCAAATGCTCACATATTAATCCAAAGGATTTTAGACCAATTAGTCTTTCATCATTTCTTTTAAAAACGCTGGAAAGACTAATAGAAATACACATAAAGGACATACTAAACCCAAGAAAAATGGCAGTTTCGCAGCATGCGTACTCGAAGGGTAGATCCACAGAAACGGCATTAAGCTCAGTGGTAGCAGAGATTGAAAAATCTCTGGAAATAAAAGAATACACCCTCGTAGCCTTCCTAGACCAGAGAACTTAAAACAACGAGAAGGTGCAAATTGAATTTTGTATGATGCTCGATTGGTTGGCTGAAAATTTGAGACATATTAATCAGAGAACTTAAAACAATGAGAAGGTGCAAATTGAATTTTGTATGATGCTCGATTGGTTGGCTGAAAATTTGAGATCAAGGATTTCACCACTTTCTGTATAGTTTTGCTGTTATTTAACAGAAATGAGAATTTTTAACAACGTTCTCTGACAAAATACGTAGCTACCAATATAAAGAGAAAAATGAAATGAAATGAATGAGAAAACAAGAAATACAAATGCCACTTCACATATGCGTGATTATTTTTTGCCATATAAACGATTTTTATGGTGAAAATTGATAAAATATGATTTTTGCACAAATGCTACATTGATAAAATGTGAAAGATTATGCAAGAAATGATTTTTTACTATTTTCATAATTTTCTAATTTTAGTTGTTACAGAATTAATAATTTATGTATGTACATATGTACATCAATATGTTATATTATATAATATACTTGTAATAATATATTATCAATTATCAATAAACATCACATAAATCACACACACAACATTTTCATTCATGAACGCTGGCGCACAAGCAATAAGCTAAGTCGTTTCATTCATAAAGCATACGCCTTACATCTCCCCGAGCATGCGTTTGTCTACAAGCGTCTTCGCGACGATGGCAAAAGCTAGAAATTTTAAATTGAACATCTTTCTGATGTTCCCTTATAAGAGAAAAGTGACAACCCTGCAAACACAGAAATCAATGACAAAAGTGGCAACAAAGCTTTTGTCGATTTAAAATATTTCACAATTCTAAAATATTTTCCGGGCTCGCAAAATTCTTCGTCAATATGTATGCATGTGTATATAAATACATACATACCTACAATGATTTGTAGGCAAAGCTGTTAGAGCGGCAAGGGAAATGATGACAATCGGCGAGCGTTCGTTTATCTACAATTCTACCAATAACACAATGTTGTGACGCTTTGTCGTCGCGTCAGTCCTTCGACAGATAGACTCTTTGACATAAAAGCAAAAATGTGTCAACGGAGATTTCACATGAAGAATTGAGTGTACATATATACATACAAATACATACAAATGTGCAAACGACATAATACGTCCATATTACGTACATAATTACTTTAACACATGCATTTGAAAAGAAAAAATTGAAGCATGAATGTGAAATGCCGATGGCAAAACACAATTCTATTTAATTTCTAATATTTTTAAATTATTATTAATAACTAACAATAAAGTAAAAATGAATGAACATAAAATAACTTAAAAAATAATAATAAATAATAGTTCAATAAAAGGGAATATGTTTCAAATACCATATTAATATTCCCAGTTTGGCATACACATTACATTCTCTTCAATATTCGCCGTTTGGTTATGTTAAGAGAGCGTATGTTTACAGATTCACCGCTGTTATAAAAGCGAGAAATGTTATTTGTTTCTCGTGCATGTGTGGTGAACTCCTTGATAAATTCCTACAAATTGTTCGCTGTCGAACCTGCACCTTCTCGTTTATTTAAGTTCTCTGGTGAAACACGCTCATCTTTTTCAGTTCCCCTGCGAAGCATGAAATATTTTGCTAATGGCCGCACTGTGAACCTTCTCTATGATATACGTTCTCTGATTGCGATTACCGATTGGGCAGCATTTTCATAGCGTCGTGTTTAGATAAAATGGGTTAATTGAGAAACTATGAAACAATGATAATAAGTAAACATATAAAAGTACCAGAGAACGTATATCATAGAGAAGGTTCAATTGCGGACCAGCGTGTGAATTGTCAAAACCTAACAAGATTTTATTAGTGAATTTCACCAAATCTGGCTCGGAAGGAGAAATTTTAACAGTGGAGAGTGAACAGAGCTGAGAATTCAATGAAAATTATTCTCAGAGACTTGCTTTGATATTACAGCTGCATGTTAGCCTTTTGGCTTATATTCTTATACGTTTATATGCAATCATATTTATTGATATGAATATCATTTTGCGAATTTTATGAATGCATGCAAAACTGATAAGATCTATTAAATTATGGAATTTCGAAATAATATTTATAGTCAATTTGGGCATTTAATAATTTTATTTAGTTTTAACCTAATATACATTCATACTTAATAGTTTATATTATATTATAATAATAGAGATTAAATTTATTACAATATAGGTATGTATATACATCTTTTATCATATTAATCTTATATAGTCATATGTATGAACGTATGTATTTGAATGTACGCATTCAGAAATTCAAATCATGATTTTATCACTTATCAATACACTATATGTGTGCGCATTGATTTATATGTACACGCATATATATATGTATACATAAAATTGCCGACAAATAATGCATACACAAACCAACATACATACATATGTATATGCGTACACATGTTATATGTCACCCGCAAAAACTACATACTGTTCTACAAAAACACAATCGTCACCAATTGTCTAGCCAACTAGGCGAAGCCCAAATTTATAGTAAATTACACAACAACAACATTTTCATTCATGAACGCAGGCGTACTTTTACAAGCACCTCGCTTCATCATAAACAGATACCCTCACATCCCTCCGAGCATGCTTTTGCCTACAAGCGTCTTTTCACGACGATGGCAAAAGCTAAAAATCATAAATTGAACAAATTTCTGATATTCCCTCTAGAAGGGAAAAGCGACAACCCCGCAAATATGAGTATTAAAATATTTTAGAATAAAAGTGACAACATAGTATATTTGTCGATTTACAATTCAAGAAACTTTTAAAGAAAATATTCAATATTCCTCTGATTTATGTATACAGCAAACCCCGGTTAAGTATCAATCCTCAATTCCTCTTATCTGCCTGTGCCTTGCTGCATCTCAGGTTTTTTTTTAATTTTTTAAGGAAACGGTTATATTTTTTATTAAATACATAGAAATTATTTTTGGTACCCTCCTTAAGTACCACAATCGCTTATGTACCACAAAGCAGAAAAATCTGCATCTTTGGTTTTGGCACTTAACGGGATTGACTGTATTTGTCAAAGAATGTGCGTATGTAAATATTCGAATTTTTGTACACACATCTGCCCGTATATATGCCCATGA